CGACTCTCATCCCCTCAGTCGCTTACTCAACCGTTCAAATGCAGTTTTTCCCAATGTATCACCAGATGATCCAATGGATGTGCATCAATGGCCAATCCGAAGACCCCGAATACTGCTATATGGTCAGACAAAGATCATTGTCGCCCACGACTGTCGGTTATACAGCACGTTTTGAAGCAAAATCAAGTCTTTCAAAACACAGTTCCGAAGAGAGGAGATCTTGACAAAATTGTTGTTGTGAGAAATAGATGGTACTTTTTGACACAATTGCAACGACAACAATAGTTAAAAGTGACTTTTGTGTAGTCACATGAGTCTTACAATTGATCATTGTTGGGGAGTTAGTACAAGGATGTTCTGTTTTGTGTGTAGTTGAGAAGGCAGAGGAAGCTCCAAAACTAGTATTTTAATGTTTTGGTAGCATTGTAGTCTTTTATTTTATTTTTCTGATAAATAAATATTTTATCATTAATTTTGTGAAATTTCATTGTGGTACAAAAATAAATTCCAGCATAGTTTTGAATTTTGTCTCTTTAATGCAAAAGATAACATTAATGAATTTTTAAAAAAAGTTTTTGAGAATCACATAAATGAATGTTGGATGGGTTAATTGTGCTTCATTTGGCAACAGAAAATACAAAAAAAAAAAAAAAATTAAAAAAAATAGTTTTAATTATTAGGATTCTTTGCATTCCAAGTGCAATGCCAAAGAGAAAAGGAACAAGGGGAAGAATCGACGAGGAACCTGAGAATTAGAGTAAAGAGCGCTCTCCCAATGTTTTATTTCACAAATCTTGCTCGACATTTCAATATCATCCTTAAATTGTTTTAACGAATCATTACAGAGTATTAAAATTTATTATTTTGTATAGCATTTTCCTTTGAATATAAATATCAAAATATTTATCGGTATCATAGAAATAGATTGATATTGCCTCAACTTAAAATCTAATTTCACGGTTACATAGCTCTCAATACAACAAAAAGAAAATCTCTGTTTTAAGCAACAATATCGGACTTATTCCGTTTTAAGTTTTCTGAAACATGCTTTTGGAAACATTGACAATTTCTGAAAACACGTAATGTGTTTTGATTGTGCATTGTTTTGAATAAAACATAAAATAGGTACAGAAAAAAAGGAAAAAAAGAAAAAGCATAATAAGCACTACAAATAACAAGAGATAGAAACCACCCAACCAATTTCAGAAATATGAAAATGATGCGTGTTTTTTTTTACGTTTTCATTGTTTTTGTTTCCAAAAACATACAAATTCTAATACATAACAGAACTTCATGAAAAACACAGACATGTTCTGTGTACAAATCATTTCTCTATCCCTCGCTACAAAAATGAAAGTAAAAAACATAAAACACAAGTAAAATGTTTCTGAAAAACAAGTTATTACAAGTCCTTTTCAAATCAATTTAATAAAACATTTTCCCTGAGCACAACAACAAACCAATAACAAACCTAATCAAGTAGAACACAAATATGCCTAAATAAATAGAAATTTTCTCATATAATCCAAAATGTAACAACAACATAAAAATAACCCAAAAAACCTAAAATCCTTAGTCATATACATTTAAATCCTAATGGCATGTTAATTTACAATTCAATCACAGCATCTAACAATTAGTCCTATAAAAAAATATACATATATATACCAAGACTCAGTCGATACACGACTGTATTACTGATATTAATACGCATTTTAATATCATTATTTAAAATCATGATATATGTACGTATATAAATATATAATAAATAAACGAATCAAACCTCGGGCGGCAACTATGACACCGGGAATCCGAAAATATCGGCGGCCGACTTAGCCATGATGGAAGCAAATTCATTAAAGCTAATGACACCATCTCCATCTGTATCAGCCTCTTTGATCATCTCTGTAAGCTCTTTATAAGTCAATGGCTGACCCATTTTCGCCATTGATCCGGCGAGCTCGGCTAGGGTGATATAGCCGTTGCCGTCTCGATCGAACGATTTGAAAACTTCTAGAAGCTGCCCTTGGTTGATGAGGAGGTCTTCTGTCATGTGAGGTGTGATGGCATTGACGAGTTCGTCGAACTCGACGGTGCCATTGCCATTGGCGTCCATGTTGGCTAAGAGGACGTGGATTTGGTCGCCGGAGGGCTTGATGCCGAGGGAACGGAGGAGGGCGGCGAGCTCGAGGAGGGTGAGGCTGCCATCGGAGTCCATGTCGAAGCGAGAGAATATGTCTCTGAGTTGGTCGAGTTGGTTGACTTCGAAGACTACGGACATGATAATGGTGGTGGTGGTGGTGGTGGTGGGATGGAGATGATCACAAAGGAGGAGGCGGAGGAGGAGGAGGGTGGTGGGGTTGATGGTGGTGGTGGGGAGGAGAAGGAGGAGGTTTTGGTGGTTGTATTTTGGGAGGGAAATCATGAGGTGGGTTTGGGTGGTTTGTTACAAGTGAGAGGTTGCATTTGCATTTGTTTTTGTTTTGTTTTGTTATGTGTAAATGTAATATGGGTGTTAATATAGGGAAATTATAAATATTTTTAGAATATCACCTATCTGTATTTTTTAAATAATTATAATTTGTTATCATTTTTTAAGTTCTTTAATCACTCAACACAATATTTTTTACATATTCACATCTTCCACCAATTATAATATTATGAATTGTTAGGTATCTATATTCCAAAATTACTAAATAAATTTATATTTTTTTTGGTATGAATAAGATTCCTTGAATCTTGCATTTTAATGAACCTTAAAATTGCGTATACCTTCTTGCATTATGGGGTTGTGATCCTCCTATTGTACGGTTGGAACGGACGATGACCGTTACATCATCAAACAGTTATATAAATGATTTTTTTATTAATTTAAAATAATAATAAATTTGAATTTTTAATTTTTAGTTATTAGATTTGTAATAGAAAATTTTCATTGCAATTGTATAATGGAGATAAGGAAGGTCCTGGATTATGCTATTTTGCTTTGGTGAGCTTATCACAAGATTCTCGATTATCTAAATTATTTCTTTTATAAAATTTTTGGAGTAAATTATTTACATAAAAAAACTAAAGAGTAAATTTCACTTTTGCCCTCTTAAGTTTGACAATTTTTTCCCTTTGGCTAAAGAAAACTTAATATCTAAAGTGGGAAAAAAAAAAAATTTAAAAAGTCAAAGTGAGAAAGTGTTCAAACTTAAGGAAGACAAAACGGGCATGAAAGACAGGGTTTGAAGCCAATGCCATAGCCGAGACACTGACACACCAAAGAACAGGGGAGGATGAACAAGAGATGGACAATTCTTTGAGAAACTGTTGAAGCCAACATAACTCAGCAGCCGTGTGAGCCATGGCTCTATATTCAGCTTCAGTTGAGGATCTAGAGATAGTGGCCTGCTTTTCAAACTCAGGATTTGAAATAGATTTTCCTAAAGAATCTAGCACTTCTGGATCTGGTGATGCAATTGATCCAGTAACAAATCCTAAGAAATTAGTAGCTCGCGGAACATTTTGGGTTTGATTTTTCCAAATCAGAAAGTTAGTAGAATCTAACTTGACTGTGATAAGAGAATTAAAATTTGTCAGAAGAAGACTCAGATTTGATGGTAAAGTGAATGAAGATGAGTTTGAAGATGAATACGCAATTGAAGAACCTTTTCTCGTTGGAGAAGAAATGCTCTGATACCATAACAAGATTTGATGAAAAATATCTTTCTTACTTATCAATTGATGAGAGGTTACAGATATTTACACTCAGTGTATTATAACTGAGTTTGTTGCAAAGCTAACTAACTAGTTAACAACCTAATTGTCTAACAATATAACTAACTCACTTTACTTCCATAACCATATCTATTAACACGTGTGAGCTGAGGTGTATGTTGGCTGCATTCGTGCCTTGAGCTGCTTATGTTGAGAGTGTGGCTTGAGCTGCTGATACTTGAGCTGCTGATGCTGAGATGAGTTTTCCTCCTCAATACTCTTATCAGTTTACCCAAAATTAAATTGACTAAATAATTAAAATCATATGATTAAATCACATTTGTACTTAAAATAATGAATAGAAATCATATTTATTGTTCATTATTTTGTACCAATAAATATGATTTGATTATATGTTATAATTATCTAATTAATTTGTTCTTATGTAAATGATTTTCTTATCAAATACTATAAAATGAACGATATGATCATCAATGTGAATCCTATGATAATGGGCCATAGCACAATCTAGTTGGCAAAACAATTCCATCTTGTAAGCATACTAGCTTAAAACTCGTTGCAAATCAAATAAGTTTTTACTAATTTTATTTAATGCAACATTTTTTTTGGGTATTTAATGCTTCCATTGTATAAGGGGGTTTGGGTCCTCTGTTGTGTCATTTCTATCATTATTTTATTGCTATTTTTGTCATACAAACACATCAAGTTGTTAATCCAACGGCTATCAAGAGGATGAGCTAGTGTGTTTTGTTGTGCTTTTGTGCTGTGAGTTTAAAATTGAAGGCATCTGGGAGTAGGAGATGAGTATCGATTTTTGAACTTTTGGGGGTTGATGATGGAAAACAAGAGGGAGATAAAGCAATTGTATGACATGTAACCAAGTCTTGTTTTCCTAAATAAATGTAGGTAATTAAATAATGATGTATTGATATATAAATATAAATTAAGTTTGTAATTTAGAATATTTATTGTATAAAATTCTATTGAGCTGAATTTTTAATTTGGACACACATTGTTACCAATTTTAAGTGCCACTTTCATCGTTTAGTTGTTGGACCATCGCTTTGGCAGAACTAGTAAAAATTAGAGATACTTACGTGTAGATCTTAATAGGTGGACTTATCATCTAATAAGTCTTATGATAATTAATGACATTTTTTATCAAACACTATTAAAAAAAAAGTCACTAATTATTAATTTTCAGCGATAATTAAAAAATTGTTACAAAAAATATCACTAATTATACATTTTGGCGATATTTTAAAAAAATTGTTACAAAAAACGACACTAATTTTTAACTTTCAACGACAGTTTAGAAAATTTGTCATAAAAAAAGTCATTAATTGTAAGTTTTAGCGATAATTTATAAAAATTATGGTAAAAAAAAGTCACTAATTATTAATTTTTAGTAACATGAAAAAAATCGTCATAAAAATTATTTCTAACGACGATTTTATTAGAATTTATTTTCAATAGAACTTGATGGCAATTAAGTTCAACTATTAAAACCTATTAATAATTTATTCTAAAAATTAAGCTGGCATGCTACCATTTTTTATCCTTTATTTTTTTACATAAGACATCTGTGAAAATATAGTTGAGGGTGAGTAAGATTTACAGGTGTGTTCGAGTATTTAAATTTTTTTTTATTTTTTTAGAGATTTTGACGAGATTGTTTTTATACACGAATTCTCTAGAAACATTAATAACAAATTTTATCATTGGAAAAGCCACCCACAAATACTTACAATCAAGAAACTATTTAAACATACAAAAAGGCAATAAGCACCAAATTTGAACATTTATATGGATCCTATTGAAGTGACAAAGGTCCATGCCAAAGCCAATTCAGCTTCCATAATAAAACCAGAAAAACCAAAGATTTGAGTAGGATGTTAAACACCATCTTGAGCCTTCGCATCATTGCTTGTTTTATCCATCTTGACTCCAACTTCAACATCACCACCACCCATGCACCACCTACATCTGCCCTTCAACCACCCAAACCAGCCTCTATGCTTAACACTTTCCAACGGTGTCACGCCTTGAGCAGTGCAAATCCTACCCAACACACATGAAATGATTGCAAGAACTGCTAAAACAGAAATAACTGCAAAGAAAGGTCCAATTGATCCAGAAGAGTGCCAAGAACTGTTGGAATTCGCCGCAACTATAGGATTTGGCACCACTTGTTGAGGCAGTTGTTGATCAGGCAAAGTTGGTGTGATTATTGTTGTTGTTGCCATTGAGATTGAGTGTCAAGTATAGCCCCATTAGAAACACACACACACACACACACACACACATATATATATATGCAAGAATTGAGGCTATGTGTCACCAAGAAAAGAAAAAGGAAGAAAAAAAGAATTGAGGCTATGTGTCACCAAGAAAAGAAAAAGGAAGAAAAAAAGAATTGAGGCTATGTATTTGTATAATAAAATTTGAAGTAAAAGTGATATAGGCATTCTTTTAAACAGAGCTTTTAGGTGCATGAGTGGAAGACAACATGGAAAGGCATGGAAAAGCATTGAGGTTCATGTATTTTACTTGAAGATGATAAGAGTACTTGCATTTGTAATTGGTTAGGACTAATTAAAATGGGGACTTTTGCATAAAGAAGGTAAAAGAGATTCCAGTGTCAAAGTGAACCACCTGTGATGATTTTTTGAGGCAAAGATGTTTCTTTCTTTCTTTTCCCTTTTCTTAGTGCAAAAGCTTTATAAAGACTATTTTGGGCCGAGTCCAAATCCTCTACCGCCTTTCTTTGCGGCGGTTCCTATGGTGCCCCAAAACGACGTCGTTTTTGGGGCAAAATTTAAAAAAAAAAACAAAAACAAAACAAAACAAAAGCACAGAATGAGAGAAGAGAAAGAGGGGAAGAAGAAAGCACAGAGGAAGAAAGAAAGGAGAAGAACACCTCTTCAAATATAGAAAGAGAGATTTGTCTCTACAATGAAGACCCAGAAAAAAAAGAGAAAAAAAACGAAGGGGAGAGAGAGAGAGAGAGAGAGAGAGAGAGAGACAAAGCTAAGCAAGATGAAGCAAAAAAAAAATTCAAAACCAACTAGCACAAATGAACCTTACTGATCTGCTAATCAATCAATCAACATAAATGGGATTCACTAAAACTGATATAAACCCAAGAACACAAAAAATAATTTCATCATCATCATCAAAAACAATAACTAAAAAAAAAGAGCAGAGAAAGAGAGAGACTCAGATCTAGAGACTCGAATTCTCTCGCTAATTCCCCTGCCGCCACCAGATCTCACCATTGTTCATCGGATCGATCTCAGATCTATAGACGTGGTGGTGAGGCCGATTGGTTATAGATAGATATATGCATATATATATATATAGAGAGAGAGAGAGAGAGAGTGATAATGGGTGAGCGAGAGAGAGAGAGAGAGACAAACGAGATTCTCAATCGGCAGCGACAGAAAGAGAAGAGAAGAGTTTGACGGTGAAGGAGTCGCCGGGGAGTTCGCCGGTGAGAGAGAAAGAATAGGGGCTCTGTTTGAAGAGGTCTTCTCCTTCTCCTTCTCCTCTCTCTCTTTTCCTCGGTGCTTTCTTTTTTCCCTCTTTCTTTTCTTTGATTCTGTGTTTTTGTTTTTGTTTTTGTTTTTGAAATTTTGCCCCAAAACGACGTCATTTTGGGGCACCGTAGGAACCGCCGCAAAGAAAGGCTGCAGATGATCCGGACTCTTTTGGGTCATGTATTGGGAATCAGGATCCTTTCCTTGCAGCCTCCGTCCTTGCGCCTGTCCTTGCAGGCCTTCGGGTCTACTTTTAGACCAAATTTTGAT